GTCTTATGTCTCATTTATGTTTTTTCCCTCTCTTCAAGCTATTTTATCTCTAGCTTTCAGATTAAAACCTATCTCTATGTCCCTCTTTCTCTTTTAATTGCTATAACATACAGATAGAAAAGTACATGAACCACAGGTGCTCAGCTTGTTGAAATTTTACAAACTGAACATACGTATGTAACTAGCACCAGTAAATTAATCATTTAAAAAAAATCACATTTGTGATCATGTTATTTTGCCTTAAAAACCAATCAGCTCAAGGAGTTTGATCCTTATTAGTTTCCTGTATAGTGAAATAAAGCAGATAAATTGGTATGGCATCTCCCACTGCTTGCCATGTATAGGTTGATTTTGGAGACATTTTTTGCTTTGCTTTACCTCATATTTACTTTTTTTTGTCCCATACTGCTCCTACTTCCTAGAATACATTTCCTCTTTGACTTGATACAATCTAAATCATGGTTATTTTCCACCCCTATCTCAACTCTTGCTATTTCTAGGAAACTTTCCTGGGCTGGTCTAGCTTTCATTATTTTTTTTTTCCCCTCTTCAAAAATTATTTAATATATTTTTTGAATAGGTAATATCAATTTATTCACTTAGCACAAAATTCAAATGCACAAAAGGATATATAGTGAAAAGTCCCTCTCCTGCTCCAGTCCCCCAGCCACTATGTGTTCTTTGGGAAATATTTTTTGTATTCATAAGAAAAATTAACTTCTATTATTCTTCCTCTTTGTTTTACAATGTAAGCATACCAAGTTCTGTGTCTTACTTTTCTCAGTTAGAAGTTTTTAATGATAGTTACAGATCAATATACAAAAGATTTTCTTATTTTCTATTAGGACTGAATGATTTTCCACTGAATGAATATACTGGAATCAGATCTACCATATTGTGATTGTGAAGGCTGGACAGTGAACACATTCACATAGACTGTAATTTGAATGGCGGTCCCTAGAATTTTTCAGTTACAATCAGATGCCGCAGCCTTGATTGTAATTACCTAGTCAGTTTCTTTTGATGGATATTTCTGCTTTTCTTTTTTGTATTGTTATCTTAAACACTACTGAAACAAATAGTCCTATTTGTGTCATTTGTCTGTAGGATATCATTCCCTTAATTCCTAAAACACTTACAATCTACCAATTTAACAATTAGACAAGGTCTTAATTTATTATGGAGTTATTTTAAAAATTTTTATCATTTTCATTCCTTAAGGAGTGGTAACATAAATGAAATTATTTTATATTTCTAGACCTAGAATACTGGTGTGTAAAAATATACCTTTAGGATGGACTGGAGGGTTTCTCTTATAGCTGCCAGATTCTATTTCCTTTTTTATCCTTTTGAGCTCTTCATAATCCTTTTGAAGTTCCTGGTAATGGAAGAAAAAAATATTATCAAAGTTTAGATCAGAGGTAGGTGTATTTAGAAGCAGAAGTGATATTTATCCCAAGTTTTGGAATAAAATGAACCACAGTCTTAGTCTTTGAAAAAAAGGAAAATGTTTCACATTTCTTTGGCCTCAAAAATTACTCTTTATTTTTCCACTGAAAGCATGGCATAAGACAGAATGTATCTTGACTGAGATTTAGATGAGCTGTAGGTAAAATAACAGAAAAATGTCTATTGTAAATTTTTGTGTCCTATAAAGATACAGTATATCCAAGTAAAGATTTTACTTTTTAAATTTCTTTTATTTATTTATTTTTAAAAAGATTTTATTTATTTATTTGGCAGAAAGAGAGATCACAAGTAGGCAGAGAGGCAGGCAGAGAGAGAGAAGGAAGCAGGCTCCCCACCCAGCGGAGAGCCCGATGCGGGGCTAGATCCCAGGACCCTGAGATCATGACCTGAGCCAAAGGCAGAGTGTAACCCACTGAGCCACCCAGGTGCCCCTCTAAGTAAAGATTTTAAAGCTGCTACATCCAAAGTCAAAAAACTGGGAATTATCCTATTCATATTAAAGTGAATAAGTCAATTACTTTGTATTGGCTTAATTATGTTAATTATGTTAAGGTTGCCACTTTGGGAACTTTGATGGCGTACAGTTTTCCAGAACCTTTTTTTCTCTCCTCTACTTACTTGATAGATCACAAAACTGGCCAGTTTTCTGTTGGGGGAAAAATTGTAATTTGTTCTCTATTTGGAAAACCCACATTTTTACCATCTCTTTAGATGTTACCACTGAGGTTAGAAACATAAACCTCTTCTCATTTTTCTCTATAGCTTGGAAGATCTCCCTGAATTAATAAGAAAGTGACTTCTGGTATGGCTAAGCCAGAACTAAAAATAAGGGGTGTGTTTCATCATTTCTTCTATTGGGCCCTGAAAGATTGATTGCCTGCAATTTTAGCGGTCTGAAGAGCAAAATAAATACTATCATAGTTTTTGGGATTTATAGCAAACAAGCAGGGTATTTGGGGGGAAATTTCTGAGAACTGACCTTTAGATGATCATAAGTTATACTGTAGTGATTTTTTAAGCAACTTTATTGAGATATAACTCACATACTGAAGAATTCACCGACTTAAACTGTATATATAGTTCAGTGGCTTTTATTTTGTTCACAGAGTTGTGTAACCATTACCACAATCAATTTTAGAACAGTTTCATTGCCCCAAAATGAAACCCAGTATCCAATGTCAGTTACTCCTCATTTCTTCCCAAATTTGCCAGCCCCAGGCAACTACTATTCCACTTTATATCTGTCCATTTTGGACATTTCATATAAAGAGATTATATAAAGAGATCATTGTGTCTAGGTTTCTTTTACTTAGCATAATGCTTACAAGGTTCATCCATGTTTTAGCTTCTATCAATACTTTGTTCCTTTTCATTGCTAATATTATATTGTATGTATATATCATATTTTATTTATCCATTCATCAGTGGATGGATATTTGGGTTATTTCCACTTTGTAACTATTATGAACAATTCTGCTGGAACATTGATGTACAAGTGTTGTGTGGGCATATGTTTTCATTCTGCTTAGATTTGTAACCAAGAGTGGGGTTTCTGGGTCATATCATTGCTCTGTGTTTAACTTTGAGGAACAGCCCCATGTTACATTTCCACCAGTAGTGTATTAGGGCTCTAATTTCTTCACAGTCTCCAGCACTTGGTATTATGTCTTTTGATTAAAGACATCCTAGTGGTGTGATGTGGTATCTCATTGTGGTTTTAATTGGTATTTTCCTAATGGCTAATGATTTTGAACATCTTTTCGTGTGCTTATTGGACATTTGTAACTCTTGTTTGGAGACATGTCTATTGCCCATTTAAATTGGTTTATTTGTCGGGGCGCCTGGGTGGCTCAGTGGGTTAAAGCCTCTGCCTTCGGCTCAGGTCATGATCTTAGGGTCCTGGGACCGAGCCCCGCATCAGGCTCTCTGCTCAGCAGGGAGCCTGCTTGCTCCTCTCTCTCTGCCTGCCTCTCTGCCTGCTTGTGATTTCTGTCTGTCAAATAAATAAAATCTTTAAAATAAATAAATAAATAAATTGGTTTATTTGTCTTATAATTCTTAATATTATATTTTAGATTTTGTTTATTTATTTGTCAGAGAGAGAAAGTGAGAGAGTGGCAGGCAGAGGGAGAAGCAGGCTCCACACTGAGTAAGGAGCCCGATGCGGGACTCAATCCCTGGACCCTGGGATTACGACCTGAGCCTGAAGGCAGATACTTAACTGACTGAGCCACCCAGGCATCCCATGTTTGTCTTTTTACTATTGAGTTGTAAGAATTATATATTCCAGATAAAAGTCACTTATCAGATAAGTATTTGCAAATATTTTCTCCCATTCTCTGCTTTTTTCATTTTCTTAACAATGACCTTTGAAGTACAGAAGTTTTAAATTTTGATTAAATGCAATTTATGTATTTTAATTTTGTTGCTTTTGCTTATGGTGTTTTATCTAAGAAACCATTTCCTGAGCCATGGTCACAGAGATTTACTATTGTGTTTTCTTCTGAGAGTTTTAAGGTTTCAATTATAGTTTAGTTATAGATATAATTTTTTGAGTATGGCCTGAGGAAGGCATCCTGCTTCATTCTTTTGCATGTGGAAACCCAGTTGTCCCAGCACCATCAGTTGAAAGACTTTTACCCTTATAGAAAGTCATAAATAGGAGGATTCACATCCGGACCCTCTCTTCTACTCCATTGATCTCTATGTCTGTCTATGTGCCAGTACCACATTGTCTTGATAATTGTAGCTATTCATTTTGAAATCAAGAAGTCTGAGTCTTCCAGCTTTGTTCTTCTTTTTCAAGATTTTTTTTAAGATTAGCTTTTCAATTTCTGTAAAAAAAAAAAAATCCATATGTTAATATGGATTAAGTATGTTAATATGGATTAAGTTCAGTCTGTAGATCAAATTAGAGAAAATTGCTTTCTTAACAATATTAAGTCTTTTGGATCCATTAACATCAGTCTTTCTGTTTATTGAGCTCCTCCTTAATTTCTTTCAACAACACTTTGTAGTTTTAAGAGTACAGGTTTTTAATTTATTTTATAAAATTTATTCCTAAATATTTTAGTCTTTTTGATGTGGTTGTATCTAGAATTGTTTTTTGATTTCATTTTCAGGTTGATCATTGCTAGTGTATAGACATACAATTGATTTTTGTATATTGATCTTGTACTCTGTAATCTAACTAAGCTCATTTATTAATGCTAATACTTCTTTTTTATTGCATTCCTTAGGATTTTATATATACAATCTCATGTCCTCTGCAAATATAGTTTCACTTCTTTCTTTTTCAATTCCCATGGAGATTTTTTCATTTGTCTCATTGTATTGACTAGAACCTCCTTTACAATGTTCAGTAGAAGTAGAGAGAGTGGACATCCTCATCTTGTTTCTGACATTGGGGTGAAAGCATTCAGTTGTAGTGATTTTTTTTTTTAACCCTAAAAAGAATAGGCCACCACTTTGCTTTGAAGACAAATTTCCTTTTGATTTAAGATCTTTTTCCCTTCTGTTTACATATACAGATATGTGCTGATTAGAAGGCTCACAGTGCAGTGTGGAGGATAAGACAGTGCCTTACAAAAATGGGGTTTGGGAGTGACCTGAAGAATTCACATGAAGCTGTGCTAAAATTGCAAGACTGGGAATTACGGTTACTGGAAACAGTGAAGAAATTTATGGCCCTGAGAATAAAAAGTGATAAAGAATATGCATCTACTTTACAGAACCTTTGTAATCAAGTTGATAAAGAAAGCACTGTTCAAATGAATTATGTCAGCAATGTATCCAAGGTAAGGAGAATAATTTCATTATTTATTGTGTATAGCATCATAATTGTGCTTAGGACAAGTAGATAATACTGTTGAAGGAGCGTACCCAAATTAGCATTCTAAAGCAGTGCTTCTAAAATCTTGCTGATTATCAGAATCTCATGGGGGAAAGTTTCAAAAATTATACATTTTTGTGCCCTACCTCCTGTCTGAGTTAGTAGGTCTGAAATTTTTGAATTTTGAAATTAAAAAAATTAATGTCTAGATTATTGTAATGACTTTGGTTTGAGAGCCATTTTTACTAATTTTGTTTATTACCCTATTTCCTTGAGTCTCTTAAGACCTGCTATTTTCTTTTGACACAAACTTTCATTATAACCCATCTTCTCTGAATTCTGTGACTCATTAGTGTACTGAATCACATGGAATATTTTAACAACTAATGTTCTTTGCTATCATTCATTTTACTAAAATAATATGCTGATGAGTTAATCACACAAAAAATTCTTTGAACAAACAGTATGTTTTTTTAACTCTAAGCTTAAAAAAATAAAAAATTCAAAATTAAGTGCCATAAAAATAAAAGACAAATTGCACTGTTAATTGCTCTTTGATGGCATTAAACATGAAATATTCCATACCTTAATAGTTCTTGGATTTCTGCTCTATTTATTCCCATTGTCTTACTTAAATATCACATTTCATTGTACTTATTTAAAGTTAAGGGAAATCTTCCTTGTTTTACTATGGAAAGTCAAAAAAATTAGTGTGTTTCTTTTATAAACATGTGTTATAAATGATTTGAGTAAATTGTAGAGGAAACTGTTTCCTATGGAACGTGTGTGTGGTGTATGATCAGGTAAGGATCTGTGATTTCATTGAGAACTCCTTAATGTTAATATCTTTAACTTCCTTTCCTAGGCCACTCACATTCTCCAAAAAGAAATTCTTCAGTCTCTAGTCTGAAGATGGGGGTCACTAGACATAGCAAATAAAAATATAGGACATCAGTTAAATTTTGCATGCAATATTTGGAACACCATACCCGAAGAATTATTTATTGTTTATCTGAAATTCAGATTTATCTTGTCCTGTGTTTGGTTTGACTACACTGTTAGGTTACAAAACCTGATAGGGAAAGTAGCTTGAGTGTACTAAGAGTTATACTTTAGTTAATCCTTCTGTTTTTGGTAAGCAGCCTGATGTCTCTTAGTCCAAAGTCCCAGTTTCTTCTGAACTGGGGGAAGAACAGTTGTGTTTATGTGGGCTGAGCAATAGAAATGAGAGTTCTGTCTGCTCCTTATATAGACTTTGAATCAATTCCTCTGTTTCAGTAATGTCTCCTCTTCTTTCATATGGTTTTCTCCAGTTTCTGAGGTTTACAGGAGTGATAGGTCTGACCCTGTAAATTGGCCTTTTCTTTTTTTTTTAATTGAGAAATAATTGACATACATGCATCACTGTATGTAAGTTTAAGGTCTGCAGTGTGATGGTTTGTAAGGGCCTATTCAGCCAGAGCGGCCCCACCCCGGCGGAACTGCCATTTTGTTGTAAAACTTAAATTGACTTTGCCCCTCCACCCCAGGGGGAACTTATTTAAAAGCAAGTCCAGGAAACCAGTCCCAGGTAACAAAGTCCAAATACAAGGGTGGGTCAGGCCAGGTGGAGGTGTTCAATCAGTGGGGGCGCATACGGTCTCCTAGCTACCAAGGAGTATGGGCCCCGCCCTTTGGGCACCTTTTGGGCGCCAATTCTGAACTAGGTGATAGGCTGGTTCAAATGTCTACTAGCGTAAATTGTAATTCAGTTGGTCGCCTAGCATCACTGTGGAGTTTCCTGTGTGTGTTATAATCTCATTGGCCACCTGTGTGGGGCCAGGCCCAACCACATGGCTTTGCTCTATAAAAGTTAGTATGGAAAACAGGGAGGGGTCGTCCTCTTTGTAGGGGCGGCCCTGACCGGTCTCTTTGACGGTCGGTCTGATTCCTGATGCTTGGTGCGAAATAAAGCTTTTCTTGACCTTTGCTTTCTATCAGTCTTGCTCCTTTAATCATGGACCCATTATTGGGTTGCCCAATTTTTGGGGGACCCAACAGTTTGATTCACACATATTATGAAATGATTACTATAATAGGTATAGTTATCCATCATCTCATGTAGATACAATAAAAAGAAAAGAAAAAAGTCCTTTTTGTGATGAGAACTCTTAGGATTTCCCTCTTAACTTTTAGGTGTATCATACAGCGATGTTAATTATAGCCATCATGTTGTACGTTACACATCTGGTACTTACTGATCTTTTAAGTAGAAATTTGTACCTTTTGATTACCATCTTCCCCTACATGGCCTTTTTTTCTTGACTTACCCTTTGCAGAACATTTATTGTGGAGGCAGAGAAAAACTAAGGCCGTCCCACCTCAGGTTTAGCTTTAGCATAAGTACAGCCATCTCAGACCCCGGTGCCCAAGGGCTGAACTTTCCCCTACTTTACTTCAGTTTCAGGAAGCCCCACCCTACTTTAGTTCTAAGGACCCCCACCCTACTCTAGGAAGCCTCACCCTACTTTAGTTGCAGAGACCCCCACCCTGCTTTAGTAACAGGAACCCATAAATACCCCTGCCTTAACTAAGCTCGGAGTCCAAGTCCCTACTCCACTGCATTGAGTGTACTTGGGCCCAAGCAAAAGCATGTCACCTTGGGGTAAAAGTCCCTACTCCGCTGTGTTGGGTATACTTGGGCCCAAGCTTAAGCTTGTCAAATAAACCCTTATGTGATTGCATCGGTGTTGGCTCCTTGGTGGTCTCTGGGACGCGAAAACTTGGGCACAACCTTAGGTTTCAACAGTTCTTGAGATGCTAGTAAGTTACCATTTACCTACTTTTAATTGTCTTAAGTTTTGTTGACATTTCTTATCTGTGGTTGTCCCCTTTTCTATTTTCTTTGTTATTGTGAATTTAAACTTTAAGTAACTACATTATATTTTAGTGGTATTTTGGAAAGAAGTGGAGAAATAGCCAGGTGTTCTATTTACCATGTTTAATTGGAATTATACTCTTTAGAAAAGTAAGATAATGAAAGTGACAAGAAGTAGGACTAGTAGGTATAGAATATTAAAGATTTATGAGGTCAGGTCAGTGAAGGAATCATCAGTGTAGACACTGAAGTGTCAAGTATTTTGGTGAAGGATAGGTGGAGACAAATGCTAAAATAATTAAGGAAGTCAGGAGAGTTTTGGATTGCAAAGAGGGCTAGGGAAAGTGATAAAGTTTGGGAGGGATAGTTTAAGGGGGCAGGATTGCCTTTCAAAGAGGAAGTGTTGAGAGGTGAGTGAACAATGGTTGGAAACCCAAAGAAAAACAAGGAATGTGTCAGCCTTTCCTCTTAACGCTGAAAAGTCGTCATTTATTCTACTTAAAAAAAGTTCAGTATATCAGTTTTTTTCTTTAGGGTGTTGTGTTTTTGGTGTTGCATCTAAAAAAAAAAAAAAAAAACCCACAGTTGCCTGACCTAAATTTGCAGTTTCTCCTATGTTTGCATCTGGAAGTTTTATAGTTCGCTTTACATTTAGGCTTATGATCCATTTTTAGTTAATTTTTGTATAAGGGGAAAGGTATGATTAAAGTTTGTTTTTGCAAACAGATATCCACTTACTCTAGCAGCATTTGTTGAAAAGATTAAACTTTCTTCTTTGCCTCTTTGTCAAAAATCAATTGACTATAATTTGTAAGCCTATCTCTACATACTTTATAATGTCCATTTGTGTTTTTGTCTACCTTGACACCGATAACTTTTTATTTTTATTGTTTTATGGTAAGCACAAAGTCAGTAGTGTAATTTTTCTGTTCTCTTTTTTTTTTTTTCTTTCAAAACACTTTTGGCTATTTTAGTTCCTTTGCACTTCCGTATGAATTTTATGTATTCATTTATTTTAAAAATATTTTATTTATTCATGAGAGAGAGAGCAGCAGAGGGAGAAGGCAGAGGGAGAGAGAGAGAGGAGAGGCAGAGGGAGAAGCAGATTCCCCGAGGATCAAGGAGCCCAATTTGTGACTTGATCCCAGGACCCTGGGATCATGACCTGAGCAGAAGGCAGACACTTAACTGACTGAGCCATCCAGGCGCCCTCATGTGAATTTTAGAATTAGCTTGTTAATTCCTGTTTTAAAAAGGCTACTGGATTGTGATTGGAATGCAGTGACTATATAGATAAATTTGGGGAAAATGTATATCTTGACAGTATTGGGTCTTCCAGTCTGTAAACATGGTCTGTATTTTCTTTAATTTTTCTGAATAGTCTTACAAGTTTTCAGTATACAGTTCTTTCAGATTTATGTACATTATATATTTTTTGATACTCTTCTGAATAGTATTTTTTTAAAAGGTTTTATTTATTTATTTGACAGAGAGAGATCACAAGTAGGCAGAGAGGCAGGGAGAGAGAGAGGGGGAAACAGGCTTACTGCTGAGCAGAAAGCCCGATGCCAGGCTCGATCCCAGGACCCTGAGATCATGACCTGAGCCAAAGGCAGAGGCTTAACCCACTGAGCCACCCAGGCGCCCCTAAATAGTATTTTTAAAAAATTTTAGTTTCTCACTATTCATTTTTATTATGTATACTAATCTCGTAAACTAAACTTTGTGAAACTTGCTTATTTGTAGCTTTTTTGTAGATTCCCTTGGATTTTCTACATGGGTGATTTTGTCTTCTGCGAACAAAGACAATTCCTTTTTCTTTTCCATTTGGATGTCTTTTATTTGCTTTTCTTTCATTTTTGTACTGGCTAGAACCTCTAGCACAAACCCTGGATGGACGTATAGACAATAGATATCCATGTCTTGTTGCTAATCTTAGGGGAAACACATTTAGTCTTTCACCATTAAGTATGCTGTTAGCTGTAAGTTTTTTGTAGATATCTTTTATAAGCTTTTGGAAACTTCTATTCTTATTTAGCTGTGAGTTTTTTTCATTTACTGATGTTGGGTTTTGTCAAGTGGTTTATCTTTTTCTGCTTAGATAATTG